CGTCAGGCGCCTCCGGGAGAAGTTTCATGGGAAGGTCTCCTCCAGGAAGGCGGGGACTCTGATGAGGAAATTCGGCAGCGACCACACCGGAGTGGGCCGCTCCATCGTGTACGGTGAGCGGCGAGGGATCCCCGGCCTGGTGGGGGTTCCGCGCATGGAAGTGCGATCTGTGCAGAGGGTAGGAAGAGGCGTTGAGATCATCTCTTGGGGAGGGTCTGAATTGGGGCTCCGGAGACCTTGAAACTCCCACAAGATCAAGGGCCTTCACTTACGCTTAACTCTCCTGACCAGGGGTAAAGCAGAGAGATGGACAGGAACTGAGTAATGACCTGGATGCCCAGGTAAACTGCCCTCCTCCCCTCAAAGGGCGGGGTAACTGGGGAGGGGGATTAGAGGGAACCCAGCCCATCCATGGTGAGCCTCCTCAGTACACTGCCAGTCCACAGCTCATGGTCCACCCACATTTACTTATTCACTTCTTGGTCGTGTATCCTGCCAGGGAGCCTGCAAACAGTAGGTGCTTATTACATGTTGATGGTATTAAATGGGAGAGAGAGACACGAAACGAGGCAGTGACATGAGCCAAGATTAATGTCATCATAGAGGAGCCCTAGAGGTCAGGGAACCTTCCTGGAGGATGTGGTGCCAACTCTTCAAGGCTGGAAAAGAGCAATCCCTGGGAATGGAGGAGTCGGAAAAAGTCTTCCTGGAAGAGAGAATGGCATGAGCAAAGGGACCAGCAGACAGGCTAGGACGAGCAGGAGATGAGGGAGAAGAGAGGGGCAGGGGAGTTCATGAATTGAACATATGAATAAATGAATGAAAGAAAGGCTTGGAGGCACAGACACGTCATGGCTCTTTTGCCCTACAGATGGCTTTGGTGGCTGATGAAATGTGGATTTAGCCTGCCCGAAGGCTTGGCATAGAGTTGTTAAAGAGTGTAATAAACTTATACCTATAGAGAGTATGATAAAATAATAGCGAAGAGTAGCATTGATTGAGCACTTCGCTTGCAGCAGGACTCCAAGAATTTTACTTGTTGACTCATTTCATTGCCACAGCGACCCTGAGACAGGTCCTATTATTTATCACCCCGTTTTATGGATGAGGAAACTGAGACAGAGTGATGAAGTCACTGGCCAGGATTATGCAATAGGAAGGTGGCAACTGAGATATGAACCCCAGCCACCCAGAGTCAGAGCCTGGGCCCTGAGATAGGACCCAGGGGGAGTGGCTTAGCCATGCTCCCACAGCTGGAAGTAATGGAAGGGGAGTGGGGTGGGACCTGCGTCTATTGGAACCCAGAGCCATAACACTTAGCTTAAAGCAGCAAGGCCTCAAAGAGGCAACCCGTCCCAATGCCAACAAATGTGTGGCATTTTCCAGCAGAAAGGGAGCATGGGGTCCAGGCCTGCTCCACCGCACTCAGTCAAGGTGATCTCAGGCAAGCCCTTTGCTGGCTCTGGACCTCAGTTTACCCATCTGAGCAATCGGGATAACAGGTGTGCCCACCTCTCAGGACAGCTATAAAGATAACTGAGGTCACACACCTGGCTTTCAGTAAGGGCATTGCTCATTCAGCTCCTTGTTAGTTAGGGACACCCTACCCCTATGCTTATGTGGATTGGAGAGGATCCCATCCAGGAGTCCCACCCCCAACGAATAAGGTAAAAAGAGGCCTGAGCTGAATCTCCAGCCTCTGCCCCTGGTGTCTCCATGCAGGACCCACCAGAGGACATGAAGCAGGACCGGGACATCCAGGTGAGTCCAGGGTGTGGGAATGGGGACAGTGGAGCAGGGCGAACACCCATGGGAGAGTGAGGTATGTCCTAGGGGCAGAAAGGAGATGCATCTATTGAGACAAGAGGGCTGATGTTGATGTTCGTGGAGGAGGAGTGACCATCCTCTAGTGCCCACACCCTGCCCATCCCACAGGCAGTGGCGACCTCCCTCCTGCCGCTGACGGAAGCCAACCTACGCATGTTCCAACGCGCCCAGGAAGACCTCATCCCTGCCGTGGACCGGCAGTTTGCCTGCTCCTCCTGTGACCATGTCTGGTGGCGCCGTGTGCCCCAGCGGAAGGAGGTGATAACCCAATCCCTGACCTTGACTCTCCTTGACTGTCTTGAACTCCACTCCCAGCCCCCATCCTCAGTGTCTGAACCTCTGCTCTAAGAACATCAAAGAGCTCATCCTTGATCTCAGCCCAGACCCCAACCCTGAGCTGGACTTCAGACCTTCAACTTGAGGAGCTCAATCCTTAACCCAGAGCCTGACCTCTGACTCCAGTTTGACCACTACCACAGAAATCAAATCTGACCCCGAAACCACAACCCCAAATCTGGCTTCTGAACCCTCTAATGTTGTGGTTCTGGTAAATGCTTAACAACCAGCTCTTGCGAACAAGTGGCGGGAGACCCCAGATTTGTACTGTTTGCCAATTTCTGTGGTGTAAATATTCCCACTGTGGCCAATATCAAGCTGCCAGAGTTCCCTCTGACAACGAGGCTGCTCCCCACTCCGCACCTGCAGGTGTCCCGGTGCAGGAAATGTAGGAAGCGGTATGACCCGGTGCCCTGTGACAAGATGTGGGGTGTGGCTGAGTTCCACTGCCCGAAGTGCCGACACAACTTCCGGTGAGGACACTGATCCCCCGACCCTCGGCCCTGCCCCACCCCAGCCCTGCCCTCCCTGCCCTGGCCCCACCCTGGCCCAGTCTCACCCTCCAACCCTCATGGCCCTGCCCACCCCCAGGGGCTGGGCACAGATGGGGTCCCAGTCCCCTTGCTACGGGTGCGGCTTTCCCGTGTATCCCACACGGATCCTCCCTCCGCGCTGGGACCGGGACATGGATCACCGCAGCACCCACACCCACTCCTGCTCAGCTGCCGACTGCTACAACCGGCGAGGTGAGGCCCTGGGTCGTCCTTGGTGGCATTCCTCCACTCCGGGCAGTCTACTTAGCCTTAACTCCTGGGACGTCCACCTCTGGGGCCTTGTACAATGGTCTTCCACTTCTTCCACATGCCTCCCAAGGCCTCAGTCACTTCCCGTGACATCAGCCCCTCCTTCCACATCTTCCATGGCTCCCCAGGCTCCATGGCGTCCAACACTAGGTCACCCAGGACCCCTGGCCCTCCTAATACCCACCTCCCATGGCATCAGCCACTTTGCGCAGTCTTGCCGATGAGGGCCTGTAATTTCCCCCAGTGGCCCACACCTCAGTGGCCCATGATCTTATCTCCTGTTTTGTCTGCTGGACTCAAAGGTGATGCCCATGTCCCTGGGTCTCCTGTGGCTGATACCTGTGACTTTCACTTCCGAACTTCCTATAGCTCTGAGCCTGTGACCTAAGCCCTTCCCCTCCCCAGGGCCTCCATGGCCTCAGCCCCCTTGTCCCCAGAGTCTCATGTGACCTCATGCCCCTGGACCTTAGAACCCTTCCCTCCTCAGAGCCCCACGTGCCTGGGACGTCCTGCGCACACCCCAAGAGCCGGAAGCAGAACCACCTGCCCAAAGTTATACACCCCAGCAACCCCCACATCAGCAGTGGCTCCACTGTGGCCACCTGCCTGAGCCAGGGGGGCCTCCTAGAAGACCTGGACAACCTCATCCTAGAGGACCTGAAGGAGGAGGAGGAGGAGGAGGAAGAGGAGGGAGGGCACGGGGAGTGACCCCTGCCAGGTGCAGATGAAAACCAGACACGGTCTGTGGTTATTTTGTGTTGTTATAAAATATGAGGTCTAACCAAGATCTAAGTGCCCTTGGAGAGCCGCCCGGGTCGGAGATGTTGGCAGGGGGTTTCCTGAGTCCTGTTTTCAGGGCCCTGGGGAACAGATATACAATGGGAAGGTCTGTGGGACATGGCCTGCACCAAACCATGAAGGAGGTATGGCCAGGACAACTTGGGCTCCTGCTGACATCCTCTGGGACCTGGGGGACAGACGACGACTGGTCACAGCCTCAGGGGCCGGATCAGCATGGCAGCCTTCTTGAGAGAGTAAGCCCCGCCACGAAACTCGGCCCAGTAGACACCGTCCTGGTAGCGGCTGCGGTAGTGGCCACCATGGTGCCACACACCATTGAGGTTGGAGTGGGCACAGGCATGATACCACCAGCCTCCCCGCTGGTACAGGGCACAGTTACCTGTGGAGAGAGAGTCCATGTTCTCTTAACCAGAATAAAAGCCTCTACCAGTACCTTACTAGTGCCAGGCTTTTGCCAGACATCCCCTGGACCCCTACTTTCTTCTTCAGAGTAATGGCCTTAATTCCTTCCCTATCCTCTTACCAAAGCACAAGTCACACTTTCCCCACCCTTTCTGCGAACTAAGAGCTCTACCCTCATTCCTTTACCAGGGAGGAAAAAAAAAAAAACCTCTACTTCCTTTCTAGAATAAGTCCTAGTTCACACGCAAACATACCCTACCATATTCCCCACATGCACACCCTGCCTTTTACCAGAACTGTACTCCTAACTTTTTTTTATTGTCTCATCAGAGAGGGAATCTGATTTCTCCATCCCCTCACCAGAATAAAAGTCCTGTCCTCCGTTCTCTTACATACCCTGATCCTTACCAGAGGGAAATCTTACCCCACCTACTTCATTCCCTCACTAGGAGTCCCACTTCCCTCACCTCCCACCACAACCAGAATAACAGCTCCCTACCAGAATAAGAGTCTCGATCCCTATCCACAGTGCTGAAAGGCTTGTCATTGTGCCAGGAAAGAGAGTCTCCAGCATTTCCATGGTACTGGCCAAGTCGTAGGCGGTAGTGGTCACTCTCAGGCTCCAGGGAGAAACCATCGTAGTGGGCACGTGCACCACGGCCCCCCCAGTCCTCCAGGAGCACCAGTAGCTCATAGTCCCCACGGCTGGTCAGTTGATGTACAGGTTCAAGGCCCAGCCAGTATTCTCCATCAGGCTCTCCGAAGCCCACCTGGCAAGGCGGGAAAGTCAGGAAGTTAGGAGCAGGTCACCTCCCCGGCCCAGGCCTGCCCCTGCCTACCTGCGCTCACCTTGTAGTGCTGCCAGGTAGTGAAGAAGTTGACAGAGCCATCTTGCCGCCTCTGGATCACAGTCCAGCCTCCACCTTCCAGCTGTTGCTCACACCAGGCCAACACCACATGGCGGCCCGGTCGCAGCTCATACACTCCGCTCCGCCTATGGCCTGCTGAGTGGGCCTCCGCACAATCCCGCCACGGGCCTGTGGGCACAGAGGTGTGGGGGAGGCACGTCCTGGATTTACTGAAGAGTCTTAATTCTCACTGGTTCCCTCACCAGAATAGCAGTCCTGCTGCTCCTATTCCTTCACAAGAATAAGAGCCCCAATACTCATTTTCTTTACCTGAATGACTCTTAAGTCACTCTTGGCTCACTATAGCACATGTGGAGCCTGGGGTTCTTAAATCTTGGTTCTATGATCTCACCAGAATAGAAGTCCCAAAAATGGCACTCTGAACCTGCTCAAATTCTCACCTAAGAAGCAGTCTTAAATTTTCTGTCCTCATCAAAGTAAGAGTACCTCCTCTCCTATTTTCACACCATAGTAAGAATTTCGGTCTTTCATCAGAGTAAGAGCCATACCTCCTTGTCCCATCACCAGATTAAAAGTATTATTTCTTCCAGTCCTCTCACCATGAGAGGAATCTACCATTAAAATCCTGACTCATTTCCTATTCATACTGCACTGGACACCCTCAACAGCTCTGCCCTCATCTTACCTGCCGGCTTGGTGGGGACAGCAGGGTGCCCTGCAGGCGTGGGAGAAGCCATGGGCCCCTGCTGTCTCAAGGTTTGGTCTCTCTGGGGCTCTGGGGCTGGATCTAGCCTCCTGCTGGTGACATTGGTGCCACTCACCAGACTGACTGGAACCACAGGCACCAGGGGTGGTGGAAGGACCTGGGATGACCAAGAGAGTCAAATATGATTGCACTAACCCTCTGCCCAGGCCACTCTCAGCTCCCAAATCTCCCAGCACCCAGAAAGGTGCAAGATCAGGCAGGGGTGTGGATTGATCTTCTCCAAAAGTCTAACTCTGGCTGTCAAGAGCAGAGTTGAGTTTAAATTTCCACTCTGGTGTGTACAGTTTAACCAATCTGTTTCCAACTCCTTTTCTAGAAAGTAGGGATAATGACCACCTCCAACAATGAGTATTACTGAATGCTCCCAACAACGCTGTAAAAGGTAGGGACTGTCACAGAGCAATAATCTCTTCAAAACCCAGGGCCAGATATGTTCCAGAATTCAGAATAATATGGCAGGAATTAGAAATGATAATACGGAATCTCTATTGTCCATTACATAACATCTCCATAACATGAGACTTTGGTCTTTATCCACATATGTTTGATTATAGGACCCTAAGAATATTTATATGAAGTGGATATGATAGATAAGTAGCCACCAGTTGCGTTTTGACCCAAATGAGTTATGGGAGGAGAGGCAGGAATCCGGTTTTTGGAACTTCGGATTTTGGAAATGCGTATAAGAGATCGTGGGGTTGCAGGAGGCCCATCTTTCAACGATGCACACAGGAAGTGGCTGCGATTCTGGCGCGGGGGCGCGGCGCGGGGTTACCTGCTGCTGCCCATCTGCGCCCCCTGGACAAAGGCGCTCCAGGCGGGCGATAAGGCTACTTTGTTGGCTGACCAGCTGCGCCAGCTCGCGGAACTTCACGTCCAGCTGGTAGAAGCGGGCAGCTGCGCGCTGCGCCTCGGCAGACGCGTTGAGCACGCGTTCGCCAAGTAACGCCAGCGCGGCGGCGGGCTCTGCTCCAGGGCCCGGGCCCGCCTCGTGCTGTAGCTGCGCGCGCAGCTGGCCCAGGCGCGCGCTCAGGCCGCGGCTCTCCTTGCGCAGCGCGCGCACATC